GTGCTCGCTCACAGCGACCCCTCGCTGGTGCTGGTTTTCCTGCTGTGCTTTGCCGCCGCCTCCGTCTCCTTCAGCTTCATGGTCAGCGCCTTCTTCAGCAGAGGTGAGCCGTCCTGCCCTGGGCCCGCAGGGGCCCCAGCGAAACCCTGCCGTGTCCCCCCTCCCCCGCCCGGAGTCAGAGCAGCCACGGCTGGGGGGCGCTGCGCTCTGTGCCTTCATTCAGACCCTGTCCTCGGGACGTCGGGCACGCGCCTGATTCCAGCCCTTTCTTCTCTGGCCGCCCGCGTGTCGTAACCTTGCTCTCCCACCCGAGTCGTGTCCAGTAGCCGTGGAAAGCTGTCCGCGCCGGGTGTGTTCCCGCAGCCGCGCACGTCGCCCGGCAGTCCCGGGTGGTGTCTCTTCCTTTACCTGCGCTTTGGTCTGAGGACTGGTGTCTTTTTTCAGCTCCACAAAATCCCGCTCACACGTTGACCCGGTTTTGGGTTCCGTGATCACCGTCCCTGCCTCTCGCGTTGTCCTCGTCTCGTTTTTCCTTTCCTGTTGGGGCAACATACACATAACGGGCAGTTTACCAGCGTAACCGTTTTTGCGCGCACAGTCGAGTGGGCTCCACGCTGTGTCGTAACCGTCCCCACCACCCACCCCGGAGTTTTTCTGTCTCCCCAGACTGAAGCTCTGTCCCCCGTACACCCACTCTCCATCCCTCCCCGGCCCTGGCTCCCACCATCCACCTTCTGTCTCTGCGGTGGCGGGAACTCGCGTGAGCGGGATCACACCTGCTTCTCGTTTTGTGCCTGATTCTCTCACTGTGCGAACCGCCCTGGGGTTCATCCACGTCACAGCGGGTTCGGGATTCCCTTCCCCTGTAAGGCTGAGTGGCGTTCTGTCGTGTGGATGGGCCACTTGGCTCATCCACCCGTCACCACACACGCGGGTGCTTCCACGGTCCAGCGCTTGTGAATCATGCAGCCATGACCATGCGTGTGCAGGCACCTCTCCGAGACCCGCCTCCAGCCCTTGGGGCCGTGGACCCAGAAGCGGGAGTTGCGGGTCCTCCGCTGACTCTGTGTTTAGTTGTTTGAGGAACTGCCAGACTTTTCCACAGCGACCGCGCCGCTCTCCATTCCCGCCCACGGCACACGCTCTCCCCGCACTTCGCCAGCACTCATCATTTTCTGATTCGGGTGGTGGTTTTTTAAAAGTTTATTTATTTATTTTGAGAGAGGTCAGGGGAGGGGCAGAGAGAGAATCTCCACACTGAGCATGGAGCCCAATGTGGGGCTCGATTCCAAGACCCCGGAATCATGACCTGAACCCAAATCAAAAGTCAGATGCTCAATCGACTGAGCCACTCGGGTACCCTGGGGATGTTTTGGTAGAAGCCGTGCTGGTGGGTGTGGGGAGGGTGTCTGGAGGGAAAGCTTGTGTGCACCTGTCTGAGCTGTCGGCTAAACTAGCCACTGTTTTCACGGGACACCGTGTTTGCTGGGAAGAATGACCGTCAGACTATGATTACTCCCCTTGGATATTTGGCACTTTCTCAAATGGGAGCTGGTTTTTAAGGCAAATAACTGGCAGTATCTGACGTCCATTGAATTTTTAAAATTCTTTTTAATATTTATTTTTGAGAGAGAGACAGAGCACAACACAAGCAGGGGAGGGGCAGAGAGAGAGGGAGACACAGAATCTGAAGCAGGCTCCATGTTCCAAGCTATCAGCACAGACAAGGGGCTTGAACCCAGGAACGGCGAGATCATGACCTGATCTCAAGTCGGAAGCTCAACCGACTGAACTACCCAGGCGCCCCTGATGTCAATTGTAAAATTCAAGCTTTCAAGCCAAAATAGGATTTTACATACTTGAATCTAACACCGTGCGCGTGACGACGCGCTTGATCTCTTAGGAGGTTGGTGTCCATGTTACCGGTGAGATTTTTTTTCTGTATGTCACATAATAAAATGTATTCATTTACATTTAAAAAGATCCACGTAGCTCAACAAGCAATATTTTCCTCACGACCCACGTATCACATTACAAAATCATGCACGAGTCACAGCCCCTTCAGAGTGCGGGATAGACAGGTGGATTTTCACATACCAGAGCACGAAAAGTTCTTTGGTCAGTTTCAGTCCACGTGGCACGTGGCCTTTGAGAAACCACCGCCTGAGTAGCGCTGTCTCAGAGAAGAATGTCCGGAAATGTCGAGAAGGCTGCTAAAATTCCTCCTCCTTTTCCAACTACTTATCTGGACGAAGGCGGTTTCCTTCATGGGCCTCAACCCAAACGGTGTGATACGGCAGGGTGAACGGGGAGCAGATACGAGAATCCAGCTCTAACCTCTTAAATCAGACATTACAGAGGTTTGCAAAAGCATAACGCGGTGCCACCTTTCTCACTAAATTGTGGGAAATCTAGTTGATTTTTGTAAAAATACTGTTAGCTTAGAGTGGGTTCAATATTCTTAAAAGGCTCTAGGCTCAGTCAGCGGGGCCTCTGGCTCTTGATTTTGGCTACTCCTGGAGGGGAGG